TGGGCAGGGAGGTTTTTGGGTGCTGAACTCACCCCCGGCTCAGGGGCATCCGTTTTCCTGTCCGTCCGTCCTGGCAGTGATACCAGGTAACCCTGTGCATCTCCCTGCTCCAGGGCACAGAGATGGAGGAGAAGGACTACAGTGAGACGGACGGGCTTTCTGACAAAACAACCCCGAGCAAGACCCAGAAGTCACCCCAGAAAACCACCAAGAAAGTGAAGAGTGCCCTCTGCAGAGTGACCCTGCTCGATGCCTCCGAGTACGAATGCGAGGTGGAGGTGAGTCCCAGCTTCAGGGGCTGCGCTGGCGCCAAGGAGGGGACACGTCTCAGCCTGGGGATGCTGCCCAGCCCAGCGAGTCCCTAATGTCAGGGCTTTTCCAAGGACAGCTTTCTAGTACCTCTCTCCTAGGGAAAAGGATCCACAGAGACAGCTGTTTCAGCTAAAATTTCAAAATAAGGAAAAAATCTGGAAAGACAGACCCTAGCAGGGAATTTTAGCCCAGTGAATCCGAATTTGGCAGCTGCTCACAGTAGAATACGGCGTCTAAAAAGCAGAAGCTTAATAGACGGGGGACAGAGCTCTGCCTGGCAATATGTGCATGACACATCCGTACGCCAGCCTATCTGCCGACACCTCAGGAGCGCAGCGTGTTGGCTGTCCCGCGTGCTAAGGCGAAGGGTGTGTGTGTGCACATGTTGGTGGGAAAAGGCTGACACGTGTGGACCCTCGTGGCTGCCCCAGGCGGGTTTGCACCCATCCTCTTGGTGTTCATCTTCTCATCCCTCGCTGTCCCTCCCCCTGAAGCCGTCAGGCCAGGGGCCGCATGGGAAGGTGTGTCAGAGCCTGGCAGCGTGGTGCACACGTGTGTGCCTGTGTACGTGAGGGTGGTACTTGTGCACATCCGTGTGGCTGCAGCCTCGTGTGTGCAGGCAGGGCGGCGTGCCCGGGCAGGCGGTCCAGCACCCTGCGCTGGGGGCGTGGGCATGCACCCGCTGTTTGTGCAGCATCGCAAGTGTGTGGCGTGGGCATGCACAAGGGCATGCGGGGAGCGCATCTCCCTGGGAGTGACTGTCACTGCAGGGAGGGACAGAGGGGACTGGCGCCCGCCGGTGGCCGCCTTGGCACTGGGAGATGCTGCAGGGCTGCTTCAGCCGCCGTCAGCACGGGGACCTCTCCCTTCTAGGACAGGCTGGGGGATACCCAGGATTAAATCAGGAGTTGAGGCTGGGTTTTGGGGAAGGGTCCTGTGGCCCTGCCGCAGGGGCAAAGGCAGCAGGGAGGAGAAATACGCGCTGGGAGGAGTGCCTGTTTCCATCCCCAGTGCCCGCCTGCTGTCTCTTGCCTGCAGGTTGAGGAGGGCAGCACTGCTCTGACCGGCAGCATTGTCCTGGTGGGAGGGATGTTTTCAAGGACTGGCCACTTTTCTTGAAAATGTAAAAGCTGAGGTTGTTCAGGAGCAGAAATGCTCGAGCCTTTGCCAGGGAGACCTTTGCACTTGCTGCTGGTGAGTGGGCGGGTGGGTTTTTGTTGGCAGCAGCTCGGAGCTGGCTGTGCAGAGCAGACTTGCATCTGTATGCAGGTCCTGCCTCCCCCGGGTCTTGGCTGCGCAGGATTGATGAACGTAAGGAGCGTGGCTGCCTGCTCTCTGTGCCTGCCTGGGATGAGTGAGCACCCCGAGGCAGCCGGCGGCGGGAGGCTCTGGCCCCCTGCCCCTGGCACAAGCAGCAGGGCCTTTGATCTCCGTGCTCCAGCAGCCCTGACCGTCACTTTAGCAGTAAAATTCGTCACAAAAGCTGTGGAAAGATGGATTGTCACAGAGATGAAAGCGACTCCAAAGAAGAAAAGGAGCAAAGTACCCCCAGGGACTATGGGAGGCTCACAGGGCACAGGAGCGGCTTGCACGAGCCCCGGGCAGGTTGTCCTTCCCCTGGCTCTCCCTGTCACATTGGCCAGGCAAAACCAAGCATGCAAGCAGAAACCTGGGCTGCAGGCTCGCTGGCAGCTTCGTGAGCAGAGCAGTGCCCCTCGCTGGGCCTGGGTAAGGACGAGCTCTCTGCTGTTGCAGTGCAGAGGATGGGGTTGACTTTTAGAAAGCTGCTGCTCCCTAAAAAACCCGCCTGGGGCGTAGGGGAGAATGTTTAGCGGGAAAAGGCTGGTGCTGCATTTGTTCTTTCTTTCTCACAAGCCCCGTGGGAATGGTTGTGCCTTCCCTGCATCTTAATTAAGGCTTAATTCAGTAAAAATAAAAAAGAGGAGTCAAACTGTTCAGTGTGACAGCCCGGCACGTGCCATGGGTGAACCCCTGCTGTCAAAACCTGGGTCAGCAGGAGGGAGGGGACCCAGGAAGGGTGACTGCAGCTGCTGGAAAAGCTTTGCCAGGCAGCAGAAACCCAGGGTTGCAGCTGGGGGCAGTGAGCTGCCAGGGCTGTGCCGCTTGGTGCCCTGGTCTGCCGTCCATGGGGTGCATGCCGAAGGTGAGAGGGGAGGTGGGAGGTGCCAGGCTGGAAGGCTGTAAATTGGAGAGAAGCACACATGGAAGGGGTTGTTCTTCCGTCTGCCTGAGCGAGCCTGGGCCTCACTGCCATCGGTAGCAATGAGAAATTCAGGGGAGCTCAAAGTACCAGATGACAAGGGTGCCCTCCAGCCCTGTGCGTGGCTCAGGCTCTTCGTGGCTCTCGTTTGTCAAGCTGTGCTTCAGCACCCAGCTGCCACCGCCACCACCAGTGGGGAGGGTGTTGGGAAGGAGCTTGTCCCACGCGCTGTGAGCTCTGGGGCGCGTTTGTCCCAGCTTGCTGGTCTGGTGCCTGGCCTGGCTGGATCCCTCTCGGGTTTGGCATCACTGTCTCCTGGTGTGATGGGGGATGAGCCGGGTGGGCACCAGGTCCTCCTGGCCCATGGGACTCTGCACGGGCTGGGCTTGCCCGTGCCCAGTCCCTGCAGCCCTGGGACCGCCTGAGTGTCCCCAAAGCAGTGCTGCCGGGTGAGAGGGCTGCTCTCAAAGACAGCCCAGCACCTTTTGGTGGTTGCCTGGAGGGTCAGGGAAGCCCTGACCCCTCCCCATTGCTCCCTACCTGCACCCAGCGGGTGCTGCCTGTGCCTGCCGGGTCTCCAAGAGCACAAGGGACCCAGCTCACCATCAGCCTTTGCATGTCTCCAACAGAAGCATGCCCGAGGCCAGATCCTCTTCGACATGGTGTGTGAGCACCTCAACCTCCTGGAGAAGGACTACTTCGGCCTCACCTTCTGCGATTCGGACAGCCAGAAGGTGAGCATAGGGGGGTCCTTCTGTGGCCACCCCTTCTGTGGTGGGAGGCCCCCCTGACCTGTTGTCTCCTTGTTGCAGAACTGGCTGGACCCCTCCAAGGAGATCAAGAAGCAGATCCGCAGTAAGTGCCCAGAGAGGGTCCATCCTCCCCAGCCCTGGGGCATCCCACCGGTCTCCCGGATGGCTTGGCTGTGGCTGTCCTCTGGCAGGTCCCCTCCCCACCTGACCTGGAGGGGACCCTTGGCAGCTGGCCTGGGGACAGGGATGCTGTTGCTCGTTCAGCTGCCTGTTACCTGCCTCTCCTCTTACTCATGACAGGCGTGACGGGGCAAAGGACCCATCTATGCCACTGACAATCTGGCTGAGACCTGGTCCCTCTCTGGTCACCGTCCTCTCCTGAGCAGGGAGGACAGGGATGACAGGATGCGTAGGGGGCTTGCTGGGACAGGCCCTGGGGTGCCTTTGCCCATGCTGTTGCCTTGCTGGGATGGCAGAAGGTGTCACCTTCTGGGACATGTGAGGCTTTTGCTGTAACACTGCTAGTCACGCTGCGCTGATGGCTCCTGAATTTGTGATGCTTTTCTCTCCCCAGCTGTTTGAGGAGGATTAACCAAGTCGTGCTGGTGTCCCAATGGCTGTTCTCGTAGCAGCTTCTGGAGCCCCCTTTTCCCTGCCCTGTGCCGGGCTTGTGGGGAGTCATGGGACCCTTAGTGGATGCCCGGCTGCTCCTGCACACCTTTGTGCAGCCAGTGCAGGTGCTGCCCTTACTGCTCTCTCTCCCCTGCCTAGGCGGGCCCTGGAACTTCGCCTTCACTGTGAAGTTTTACCCTCCAGACCCTGCCCAGCTCACGGAGGACATCACAAGGTGAGGACCATCCCCTTAATGGGCGCAGCTGCCGGGGAAGCTCCCAGGGGACCGGCAGAGGAGCAGGGCTCTGGCAGGACGTGGGCAGCCGGGGGATGTCTGGGGGCTCACTGCTGCGTGCGACGTGCCTAAATCATGCAAAGCGGGGGCCAGGAAGGCGGGATGGGAGATGGCAGTCCCTGCGGGGTGCACGCTGCTGCTTCCCAGGGAGCCCCAGCCTGCTCTGGAGGGCATGCACCTCCGCCCCATTCTTATCCTCTGCCCCCTCCTGCAGATACTACCTGTGCCTGCAGCTCCGTGCAGACATCATCACGGGGCGCCTGCCCTGCTCCTTTGTCACCCATGCCCTGCTGGGCTCCTACGCCGTGCAGGCCGAGCTGGGTGACTATGATGCTGAGGAGCACGTGGGCAACTACGTCAGCGAGCTCCGCTTCGCCCCCAACCAGACGCGGGAGCTGGAGGAGCGCATCATGGAGTTGCACAAGACCTACCGGTGAGCCCCAAGAGAGGATGGGCTGGTGGCGAGGAAGGCAGCAGACAGCTGGCCCACGCCCAGTGGGGCACCCGGCCACGTGTCCCCCTCTCTGTCTCTCTGCAGTGGAATGACCCCCGGGGAAGCGGAGATCCACTTCCTGGAGAATGCCAAGAAGCTCTCCATGTACGGGGTGGACCTGCACCACGCCAAGGTACAGGGCTGTGGGGCTGCCAGAGCGATGGCCAGTGCCACCCCATGCTGCCCAGCTGCCTGCACACCCCTCCCTGCCCAGCCCTTTCCTCCCACAATGAAGGTTCAACGACACGGTCCTGGGCATCTGGTTCTGGGTGGCCCCGCGTTGGACCAGAGGACCAGAGGACAAATTTAGGTTAGATATAAGGAAGACATTTTTTTACAATGAGGATGGTGAAACACTGGCAGATGCCCCATCCCTGGAAACATTCAAGGTCAGGTTGGACGGGGCTCTGAGAAACCTGATTGAGCTAAAGATGTCCCTGCTCGCTGCAGAGGGTTGGACTAGATGGCCTTTAAAGGTCCCTTCCAACCCAAACTGTTCTATTATTCTATGACCTCCAGAGATCCAACCTCAACCGGTCTGTGATTCAGTGACCTCTGTCAGCTGGTCTCCTGTAGCAGAGCACCGAGCAGGAGGGAGCATGGCACTGCTGGCCAGACTGGTTCTCACTGGGCAGCTGAGCAGTCCCTTACTGTCCCTCTTGCCTCATCCAGGACTCAGAGGGCATCGACATCATGCTGGGTGTCTGCGCCAACGGCCTCCTCATCTACAGGGACCGGCTGAGGATCAACCGCTTTGCCTGGCCCAAGATCCTCAAAATTTCCTACAAGAGGAGCAACTTCTACATCAAGATCCGCCCGGGTGAGGTGGGTGCCATGTGCCAGTGTGGCCCCAGGGCATGGTGGGTTGCCTGCTCTGCTGGACTGGGGCTGCCTGGCGGGGAGGTCCTTGCCTGGCTCCAGGCCCCAAGGGTCCCAAGTTAATGACCAGGCTGGCCAAGAGAGCACATCTGCTGTGATGTATGGAGGCTTTCAGCAAGTGCTTTCTTGTTTGTGCTCTCATTTTCTCACTGTCAAAGTGACTTCAGCAGGTGGAGGGCACCCCAGGCTCCTTTCCCACCAGCCAGATGCCGTGACCCTACTGGCATAGGGGAGTTGTCCAGGAAGCGGGGGTTGAAGGCCATTTTTGATGTGTCTTCCATGCTTCACAAAAAAAACATCAGGAGGCCTTTTCATTCATTTCCTGACTTTATTTTCACTCTTTTCACTTTTGTGTGCACTGATGGGAGAATGCATTTCCACCCACGTTTTCCAGCAGGCAGGAGGGCAAGGACAGTGCGTCTAAAATGCAGAGTGATGACCTCTCACCAAAATGAGCTGTAAAAGAGTTTTGTTTCTTGAGGGAATTTATCTTGCACTGAAAAGCCATTTACAGTTGAGGGAAGTGCTTAGGCCAAAAGCATGAAGGCGTGATCCCACCACCCGCTGGGGCTGGGCATGGACCTTTCCAGCACTGCTTTGAAGAAGACGGTTTTTTGCACGGTCATGGCTCCTGCCAGCAGAACCTGAGGGCCTTGGCAAAGCAGGTCCCATCCTGTCATGTCCTCTAGGGCAGGATCTGCTTCTGACGGTGTGTTTCTGTCTCCCCCAAGTACGAACAGTTTGAGAGCACCATTGGCTTCAAGCTGCCCAACCACCGCTCTGCCAAGCGCCTCTGGAAGGTCTGCATAGAACATCACACCTTCTTCAGGTGAGGAGACCTTCTCCAGACCTTCTCCAGGCCTCTCTTCTCGGAAGCAAACATGCTTCTCCCTCTGCTGCAGTGGGTACATGTTGGGGGCAGTGCTGGGGGACATGGCTGGGGCTCGCTGACGGCGCTTCATCTCTCCCCGCCGCTCAGGCTGGTGTCCCCAGAGCCACCTCCCAAGGGCTTCCTGGTGATGGGCTCCAAGTTTCGCTACAGCGGGCGGACGCAGGCACAGACACGGCAGGCCAGCGCCCTCATCGACCGCCCGGCTCCCTTCTTCGAGCGCTCCTCCAGCAAACGGTACACCATGTCTCGCAGCCTTGACGGAGGTATGCCCCAAATTGGGGAGGGGGAGGGAGATTGGTCCGCTGGCGGGAGCGAGGGGGATGCTGTTCAGCTCGTCTCTGCGAGCCGTTCGACTCGTTTGGCAGGGTTACAGCAGCCATCGGGCTTCCTTCTGGAGGCTGTCCCCAACCACATCCCCGTGGCAGAGGGTCTGTCCCCACCCCAAGTGACATCTGAGACTGCGCCTGAGGAG